TCGGAGTCGGATCGCCAGGTGTCGTCGAGGAGGTAGGAGTCGGATGAGGAACCGGTCATGATTATGTGCTCTGGCGGCTATTTGACCTAAAACGGACTGGGGTTAAAAGAAAGAGAGGAAGACAGGGCCAAGGTCCGAGACCGGCAGGACGCTGATTTTCCGGGAGTTTCGCTAACCTGTCGCCAACGTAGACCAAATCGGCGAAGTACAGACCGGGAAGCATCTTCCAGGGAGCGCTCCGAAAAACCTCGTTCACGGTAGAGCTGAAGGAGTTCACGTACCTGAGGTGCAATGACGTCTTTGGGCCATGACAATCGGCAGATGAGATAGATCCGGGTGGTGAGGCCCTGAGTGTTCCTGCGCGTCGAAGACACCGAGCACGGAGAACGCAAGGAGATACGGTTGCGTGGAAGGACAAGTCGGATGGAGCGTTGTGCAGTGTCCACAATGGTGCTCAACAATTCTTGTCCGGGGACATGTTCCAACTCCAAGGGAAGGCCATAGAAATGTGGATGCAGGTATACTTCTTGAAACCAGCTGGAAGATGTGGTGGATGATGAAGAGAGGGGATCGTGATGTCGACGGGAACTGGTCCGCGGCGAGTCGGTCAATGATTCCAGTTCTCCTTCCCAAATTCGCAGAAGGCAGCGATTGTCCACATAGCGGGAGGAGCAAAAATAGCGCGAGGTCAATAATTGGTCGCGGATGAGCTGGTGGAAACTGGCCTCCCACAGTGCCGCGGTCGCTCCGCACATTGACGGGGCCATGGGCGAACCCATGGAGGCGCCACGATGCTGTGCCAGGATTTCCGTGCCGACTGTGAAGAACGAGTGGCGTAATAGGAACATGACCAACAAAGGTAAGTCACGAAGGCATAGAGGCTTGTAATGTGAACCGGCTTTGCGATATCGGCCTCGAAATAAGCCTCCCAGGGAGTTGCGGTCCCGCATGGTGATCTGTATATCCGAATCCAACGAGATCTGCTGATGGCGACGAACATGTCTGTCAAGGACGAGATCGAGTGGTAGATGCGGTCGTGTGGAACCGATGTGAAGAAACCAGAGAGATCTTGCTGGAGTAACTGAAGTTCAATGGTAACTGGGTTGTTGCGGAAGGCGTGTATAAACGCGTGGATGATGGAGTGGACGGTAGGAGACACAAACTGAGGTGGTACGACCGTCTGGAGCATCTGTAGCACTGCAGTGGATAGAAATTTCGCAAGTGGGTCACACCACGTATTGGAATAGCTGACGATCGGTCGACCCTTCAAGAAGTTCTTTGAAGGTTTGGGAAGCACATATGCGTACGGCAGAGGTTCTTTGGGTGCAAGTGCCCAGTGATAGCGTGTGGGAACGTGCCGCTTGATGGCTCGCTGTATGTGCTCCGCTAGCTGCATCGGGTTGGTGTCTCGCCGCCAAAAGACTGCAGGATCCAGAAAAGTTTTGGTCAAGATGTCGAAGTACTGTTGGGGGCAGAATCCATAGGCCAAATGAGGACCGTGATCAATAGGAGACACCACAATGTGCTCGGATCGTTCCCGCAGGTTCTTGAGTTCACGTAGTTGTCTGCCGTCTGGGCGCATCCGCAGGGTTTGTCCATGTAGTCGCCATTGGTGTGAAACAAAGACCTGCCAACGAAGTAGAGCTTGGTCAGGTTGTCGCCACAGTTTGAACCATCGGGTCATGGGGGCGACGGTGTACCTGCGAAATTGAGATTTGGTCAACCATCGACCGTCGCCCATGTTCTCCCGATATGTGGGTTCACCCAGTACGACATCGGCCGGGCTCCAACGTGGTCTGAAGGTGTTCGGTGTCCTGGAAGTTGTCGACAACAGCAGGGGAACGAATTCTCCGGGTCCCATTGCCGCAGCCAGGCATGATGATTAAACAATGTTTGACCCATTGTCGGGGCTTTTCTCTCGGTGATAGTGTAGCGCGGAAGATGATGGGGAGGAAACCATTCACGGTGATGAAGTATGTACACGTCCAACCATTGTTGAGCTTGTCGTAAAAAGTCATGAGCCAACTGAGGTAGAGGAAGTAGTCGGTGACGTGGTGGAACGTCTCCTCCTTTGTAGCGAAGAGCCAGTCGCAGAGCTTGTAGAGCGCGGGTCTGGTGTGGTTGGTCCACGAAGACGAGAAAGCGGACGAGTAAGTACAAATAGGAAATCGGGGTACTATTTCGGCGTAGAAATTGTTGTGAGAAGAATTTGAAGATCCCGTTGCTGCCAACGTATTGTATAATCGTGGCGAGCGTCTCGCGTTGTTCAATGAGGGGGCGAGTCCCAAGGAGTTCCGGTAGATCCCGATAATGTGTGTAGCGATGATGTGCGCGAAGAAGACGAGCTCCGTTGCCGCCTTCTAAGAAGGTGACGCTAATGGGCACTTCAAGCTGGACTCCCAATTTCCGTAGAAAAATGTAGACGAAGGGTGCATTCAAATGTGGATGATAGGTGGCGATGAGGGCCTGCTCCAAAGCGCGAACTTGTTCTTCTGTGGGTCGATGCTGTAATGTGATCGGCAGGTAATGGTCGTACGTACCGGCCGCGTGCCAAATACGGAGAGCAGGCTCGAAGAACGCTTGGGTGCCCGAGCATAGTTGGTTGTATTTCGATCGGCGGCTGATTTCCCGGTCCGTGACCGTGTGAATCGTGGAGCCGATATACCATCCTGGGTGTTTGTGGGAGACCTTGAGGTAGACAACGCTGCACTGTAGGTGGTGTCGCAAGGTGTACCGCTGAATGTCCAGGTTGTGGAATATGTCATGAAGACCTCGGTGGTTGGTAGTGGTGGGAAACCGCAGGCGATGAAGCTGTAGAAACCATAAAGCTCGAACCCAAGAGAGACGGCCGAAGATGTGACGCGGGAGGACTTGTCGAGCCACCGGTAACGTTGCAATATAAAAGTCCAGAAAAGATCCGAGAAGTCTGTGTGGGTGGGGAGGTAGTCGGTGACGGGTTAGAGGTCGTGAGGGAGGGTGTAGGTCCTCCTCATCAAACAGGTGGTCGAAGCTGAAGATCTCCAGGCAGAAGAGGAGTCGAAGAGGCGAGGTTTGTAGGGTGTGGGCAATCTGGACACGGGTCAGTGCATATCTGCTCGCCAACCAATCGTGGATGCGGGAGTCGGATACGGGTGGTCAACGCATTCGCGGTGAGGTCCGAGTCTTTGGCCCAGCCTGTGGGTATAGTGATCGACGATCTGGTCAGCGAAGAAGTTCCTGTAGAGGAAGGTGTAGAGGCCGAAGGCGGGTGGGGACCAGAAGAAGAGGAGGGACAAGTATAATGTAACCGAAGTGGCGGCATTTTGTGAGTGAGATCAGGCAGACGAGAATGTGTAGTACCGAGAGGCGGCGGTGGAGTCCATGTGGTAGAAGATGAGCGTAAGTGGGTGGATGTACTGGTAGAACGCAGTGGGGGTGGAACAGTTAACGGCCGGGAGGTCAAGGGTCTCGATGTGCGGGACAATGTCCGCAATCTGGTCGAGGTAGTATTGAAACCCGAGGATGGCCGTGATGCAGAGGAAGAAGAGGAAGAAGAGAAAAGCTCCTGACGTAGGTGTCGAATAAGATCGTCATCACGTACAGCAGGAGGAAGTATTTGTACTGGAGAATGGCCCGCTGTCACCTGTCGTATGACTTCATTGACGAGAAGTAGAGCGTCGGTGGACTCAAAGGCGACGGGGCAAACGTTCCGACCGTTGGCAAAACGGCGATACAAGGGGTGAAGAGGGCCCTGATGTAAGACGTCAATAAGTCGGTTAGTCTGGAATTGTCGTCCTCCGCATACTCGTGGCTGAGGAACACCGTGTTGAAGTGGAGAATGGATCCGGCGCGGAGTTCGAGACCGGGATCGTTCACGGACCATTGGGTGGGGGAATAGGGACTATCACGAGTGAAAATGGCTGCGGAAAAAAAGCGATGCATCCAACTGATGGTAGCAGAACCGGGCGCTTTTCCGACGTTGAGGATGGCAAGACGTGTGGGCACGGAAGAGGGTGAAAACGTATGCGACGGACCGGTAGTTCAGCTCGTAGCATGGAAATGGTCGTCTCCACACCTTCCTCGTCGTCGAAGTAAAACAGCTTGCAGGGAGCACCGTGTCGTAGGGCGGACTGAGGAATGCGGGCGAGATGTAGTTGAATATGTGCAACAGACTCCAGGTGATCACGTAGGACATTGCACCAATCCCAGCAGACGGCTGCAGTCGTCAGACAGATGAATAAGCTAACGTGTTGGAAGGAAACGCGAAAGACTGCCGCATGGTACCCATGTCTGATCAGTCGTGGTGCGGAGCATTGGAGATGTGCCCGCTGCATGGCGGTGACTATCAAGGCCGAGGACCTAGCCGCCCATGCAGGTAAGTAGTCATTCTGGTCCGGTGTCTCCTCAGCGTCGTGGTGCAGCTCTAGGATCACGTCGATGTACTGCAAGTATGAAGTGATGTGCGCGAGTGAGACAATAGGGAAAGGAAGACTCATGGAGACAAAAACGGCTGCAGCATGTATCAAAGTAGGAAAGCAAACAGAAAGTGAAAGGCAGAAGTGGGCTCTTTTAACGTCAAGGTCTCCAAGCCGGTGAGGCGCCTTCAGGTAGTTCAATCGCCGGTTGCCAAGTTGTCCGGCGGGCTTCTATCAGGCTTCCGCAGGCTGGAGCGTCTCTGAGGAGTGACTCGTCCTTGACGGTGGAGATTTCTGTCACGCAAGTCAGGTAGGAAAGATGTTGGTCGCCTTGAAGTAGCTGGAAGTGAGACGGGTGCAAATAACGTCGATGTCGGTGGTAGATGAGCTCCGGTAAGTCGATACTTCACCTGGTCAATGAGCATGTCACTCCAAATGTGAAAATCGTACCACTCCGCAAGGCCACGGCCGTCAGCGAGTTCAGATCAGAGAAACCACGCCGGGACCACGATGCGGAGGCGTATCAAGTTGGGCGGACATGGTAGTCCGGCGGCAGTGGCGGAGCGTTTCGTAGCGCTAACCAGTTATGGCAGGCGGCCGCAAGAATCAAGGGATATGATCCGACACAGGGAAGTGAGGGAAAAAGAAGCGCTCGTAGGAGGTGCGGAGGTCGTCGTAGCTGATGTCGAGTGGCTGCATGTTGTAAATACTGGAAAGAAACGGCTGCGGACACCAGCGAGGCAGGTACATGACTGTCCAACTGGAGCAATACGCAAGCAGTGTGTGACCTTTTCTGCCCAGGCAGCATAAAAGGGTTCCGAGGTGAGTGCTGATCACGATGTCAAGAACCAGACGTGGCAGCGGCAGCGACTGGGGCAAAAACGCGCGCCGGTGGCAGTGAAGGCATTGTCCCAACAGCAAGTAAGAGCGGGCTCGTAGGCACCTTATCTGGGTTTGCAACAGCTCCATGGCTTCCCACGTATGGAGTTCGTGAGGGATCATCAAAGTCAGCACGGCATCGGAAAACCGTACCACATCAGCGAAGGCGGTGCCGATTGGCAGCGCGCGCGGAGGAAGGAATGGCCCGCGCATGCGAGGGGCAGGTTCACCTGGTAGTAGTTGAGAAGGTCGTGGTTGATGAACGTCTCGGGTAATGAAGTGTGTGATGTTGCGGCCATGCAAGAAATGCATGACCTCGTAGTTCATCGTACGACTGACCTGAAGAAGTTGGGTTGTGACATATAAGTCGAGCACGATCTCGAAGAGGCCGTGGTAGGAGTTATCAGCGATGTGTACGACTTCATGGAACATGTTGGCTGCCTCCGCCATGACCTCGTTCATGATGTTGTAGATGTGCGGTCGAGGTGCAGCTTGGGAGAAGGGTACAAGCCAGCCGCGAAGTAGCAAAAACGGAGATAGCCAAAAGTTGACCGGGACGTCGGTGAAGGCGTAAGAAGTGGGGTTGACTCCGGACGATGACGAGAGAACAGTAATCGAGGGAGGCAGTGCAGCACGATCACGACGGGACTCCCTGGCCGCGGCCGCCCATTCGCTGTACTCGGCAGTGGTGGGAAGGTCCAGCAGCGTCTCCGCCACGAAGTTCGCCATCGGCGTGTCGAAGATTCGAAGAAGCAAAAGGCTAAAAGGGGCTGCGGAACAACAAACATCAGGTAACATGTGAGGATGAAGGAAGCAGGCGGCGGGAAGTGAGAATGGACTCTTTGTGTCGCGCAATCATCCGCTCCGAGACCTCTGTGCAATCGAACGCGGTCAAGTAGGCAGGAATGCCCAACCGGTAGGTCAAAGATGAAAACCGTACGATGCTCTGGAATTCCGATCCGAGTGGAAGACGTCGTCGAAGGAGGCTGGAAGGGCCAGAACGATGAGCGGGTAGCAGTGCCACTGTGGTCATGGAGCGGGCAAGGAGGTAGATGGCGAGGACATCGTTGAGGTGTCGGTTAGTGGCAGAAAGTGCCGCAATGACGCCGATGTCGAAGGTCAGCACAAATAAGCCATGATAATAGTTGTCCCCGATGCGGAAGAACCCGTAGAACAGATTAGTGTGGCGATCGATGAGTTCGGCCAGGCGGTCACGGATCATGACATCATCGGGGTGTGGTGGGGCTTGACGATTAGAGGTGCATGGAGTGCCATCAATAGGAGGATGAGTCGCGGCCACGGTGTATGCAAACAAGTGCTGGTGGTAATCCAGAAGCTGGTG